GCAATGAATGTACAAATGTGCTTTACACAATTGATGTGTGTATGGATTGTGATAAGAGTTGTATGAGCCCCTAATAAAAAGATTTAAAAAAAAAAAGGAAGTTATCATAGCCAAAAGCATAAATGCCTTTAGTAATTTATCCATTCCCTGGTCTGAACAGTTCAAAATAAAATGGTATACCTTTTAGAGCATCCTTATATATGGTGATAAAGAGTTTGAAGATGTCCTTAGGAAAAGTATCTTCCTCTGGCAAACATAACAATAGAATAATAATTTCTGCCTGTCCCAAGCCATGCAATCCATTGGTTGAGAAGTACCAATATTTGTCTGAGGAATCTTAAGTGATAAAAGCATAGAACTATAAATGTCAACTTATATTAACCAAAAAATACTACAAATAATTGTCCTCTGCACGACGCACAACTTTTCAAATTCCTATTCTTCCAAAGCTCCCCTCACAATAGCTCTAAGATGAACTGTATAAGATTAATGTAAGATTATCTTTTTTTATATCAAGGATTATCTTAAGGAATCAATAAACAACATATAAGTAAAAGATACATACTACACGCTAAAAGGTAGTGGTTAAGAATTACGTTAGTCTCAAAGAGAATGAAAAGCTTATAGATGCTACAAATCTATTATTTACTTCTTTCCTTTTAATTAGGTCCTATGACACTAAAAATCATCTTTTATTGCTAATAATCAGGATTCCGGTTTATCCAATTATCAAATATCAATTTACCTAGAAGCTAAATACATCAGTCAATTGTTCCATGAGCATCAAAATACAATTCAGTGATAAGCCCAGGACCTTCACCTAGGACTGAATGGAGATGGCAATAAAAATCCCAAAGCTGCTATCTCAAGTTCAAATGCATACACATTTACAACGTTTGTTTATGGTTTTATCTACTTAAAAAAAACAGTATCTGACGTTGCTTTCTCTGCTGTCTCTTAAAATCTAATTTGAAGATGTCATCAGTTCCCAAATCCTGCTTACCACTTAGGCAAAGAAAGGTGACTCATTACTTACAAAATACTAACTTGACATTCACGAGTAGATTAGCATTTAAAACAAATGTAACAGGTTGC